TGACCGACAGGAGTCTGATCTCTGATCTGTAAAAGCCCATCATTAGTAAACTTGCTAAAGCTGGTAAAAGGCACTCTGAGCTACAACTCTGAGGTCACCTTTGTCCAAAGTAACAAAGCTAGATTGCAGAGAACCCCAGGGTACATACTTGCTCTTTCATGGGGTGTGTGATCATATCTAGAACAAGCTGCACTTCCATTTCTCAGACATGAGAACTTGTAGCACCTCCATTTTGTCAGGATTCAAGTTCCATCTACTGCTATTTATCTAGCCAATTACTGAACCCAGATGTCAGATCGGTACCAGCACAGCTTCTTCTGACTCAGAAAACTGAAACATACAGGGATGGGTGTAATTAGCATACTTCATTTCAAACCCCTCAGATGAGTCCACTCAGTGGCTTCTCTGTAAATGCTCAAAACAAATGTTGAGAAGGTGTGGAATGGAACTCTACAGGCCTCTGTAACAAATGTCATGGTGTTCAGTGACCCCCATTATCCTCTGAGACAGATAGGAGAAGACTCAGCATTAGCCACAAGCTATTTCTGTTCCCCACCTGGCTCTCGCATGGCAAACTCACACTTATGCCATACAAATAATCCCAAGCATTATGGAAAAAAATCTGAAATTACATCACTACACAGAATCCCATTGATGGTTTACACTGGTATGTGTAGTTTTATAAAGCACAACAGTGAACTGTTTCTAGTTAATGAAGCTCTCCTAATATTCTTCATGAATATATATATTCATATATTCTTCACCCCTCTGACTTGTCCTGCAATGAGGAATGCAAACAGCAAGTTAGTAGCTAATTGCAATATGGCAGTGCAATTTACACCACTGTGCTTTTGGTGGTGTAAAATAATTTGGCCATGTTTTTGAAATTACCTCATGGCTCATACTAGACCTTTTCTATCTTCTCCCCTCCCCTCAATACTTTAGAAGCTATTGTTTGATGTGATATTTATGAATAGTTTGCTAAATTAATTTTTGATTGGTCTTTTTAAAAAAATCTAAATATTTAGATTTTTTAAAATTCTAACCAACTACAACAGCTGTAAACACTCATTCACTTTGAAGCTTTATTATTTTCTATTTTTGATTATTATGATGCTTTGTCCCTATACTACTATTTGCGCCCCCCCTCCCGCTGCCTCTCCACAAGGGACTTCTTGGCAGTTTTTGGGGTATGTCACATATGGAAGCACAAATCTTTTTGTCTCTCAGACTACAAGGCATAGTTTGTGTAAACACAACCACTGTTTAGAATGTTGCGTGTGGTGCTGTAGTAGAGCTTCTGACTGGCTCTAGAAAATTTTGCAAAACCTAGAGAGTAAGTACATATATAGAAAGTGAAAACAACATTCTACAAACACTCCCCTATCCCCACTCTCTGTAACAGGGTTGCAGCCTGGGACAAGCCCCATAGGTTTCCAGGCCCCAATAAAGCACACTCTGCCTCCCCACCATATATTGGGACTATAACCAACATAATACAGTGCCCCTACGCTCAACTTGTATGGCTAGTCCCACAAGACACCATGATAGGTGATATCAAAAGTCACTGAGAGAAAGGAGAATGAACAGAATTGCACTCCCCTGTCTTTCTCTTTGCGGAAGCATCCACCAATGTGAAAATGTATTAATACATTGTCAGTTAATCTTCTCCAGTTAATTGTTATTAGACAAGATGGACAAGTACAAGGGGGTGCTGATAATTATTGAGCCTTTCCCAGAAAAAATTGAGCTAGGAAGCTGTAACTGCCACACTATTCTACATATTCCCCAGGAAGTCAGTGCACTTGCGACATCTGTCCTGGAGCTTCTTAAGTCCCTGCAAATAACATTCTTCCAGTTGCTGGTGTAACCACTCATTTGCAGCATTAGTTGCCTCCAGAACACTCCCAATCGTTGTCCTTTTAGATGTTTTGGGGGAACAGATAATAGAAGGAGCCAGGTCAGGAGAATAGGGTGGATGGGGCATCACTTGAAAGCCTAAGGAGGTCAGTTTTGCCATTGTTTCACCTGCAGTGTGTGACGAGGCATTGTCATGCAACAGGATGACACCTTTGGAGAGCTTTTCTTGACATTTTTCATTGATGCTTTGCTTCAACTTCGTCAATAAAGCACAGTAATATTTTGCATTGATGGTGGAACCTTGTTGGAGGTAGTCCACCAGCAGAACTCCCTTCTTAGCCCCCCAAAATATTGCCATTTGCTTCTGCACCGACCTTTTCACTCGGAACTTCTTTGACCAGGGGGAACCACTGTGCTTCCATTCCTTAGACTGTTCCTTTGTCTCAGGATCATAACAGTAGACCCATGTCTCGTCACCAGTTACCAGTTTGCCCAGGAAATCTGACACATTTCTTGCAAAATGTTCCAAAACAGCCACCGATTACTCCACATGTTTTCTCTTTTGTTCAGTTTTCAAAAGTTTGGGGACCCACTTTGCTACCAGCTTTCTCATTTTCAAGTCATTGTGGATAATGGCACCAACTCTCTCAAGTGATATTCCCAGATATGTAGCAATACTTTTGGCTGATATTCGGCCGTCCTCCATGATCATGTTATGGATGGCTTTCACATTTGCAGGCACAGAGGCAGAAACAGTCCTTCCACTGGGTTTCTCACTTTCAACACCGAAATGGCCAGTTTTAAAATTGACAACCCAACGTTTAACTGTTGCATATGAAGGGCCACTGTCACCCATAGTTTGTGACATTTCATCATGGATCTGCTTTGCACTTTCCCTTGGAGAAACAGGAACTTGATTATGGTCCTATGCTCTTCCACATTGAACTTTTCTGGAGGTGCTGCCATGTTCACTTTGGACCTGAACATGAAAGATAAGTTAAAATCATAGGTAGTTGATTTTTGCGCCATTGAATACAGACAAATTGGCCAATACACCCTGCAATGTACAGCTTCCTAGCTCATTTTTTTCTGGGAAAGGCTCAATACTTATCAGCACCCCCTCGTATCAAAAATAGCAGTTGTTGACTGAACCCTCTAATACTTTCCCCATGTCCTTAAGCTGCATCAATTAAACTTATCCCACATGACTAGATTTGATAGCGGTCTGCATGGTTCCATATGAACTTTCACAGTCACGTGTTGTTAAGTCACTTCTGACTTATGGAGACCCTTTTGAGGATTTTCTAGGTATAGAATGCTCAGAAGTGGTTTACCATTCCCTTCTTCTGGGAGGGTCCTGGGACTGTGTATCCTCCCCAAGTCCACACAGGCTGGTTGTTCACACAGAACGCCCATTGGGGAACTGAACTCCCAACCTCTGGCTCTGCAGCCAGATGCCTAAACCACTGAGCTATTCGGCCAGCTTACATGAACTCTTATCAAAAGCAAAAAGTAAAACAGGGTGTGCTGCTTATATACAATCCCATAGTGCTTAAACCATTTGATATTAATGTTGATATCAAATTCAAGGTAACTTATTTCTCTCGGTAGGCTTCCAAGGGCTCTCCAAATTTTAATAACCCATTTATGTGCTTGTATTAAGATGAATCAGGAACCAAACTGGACTCATTCAGACAGATTTAGATGTCCAAATTGAAACTGGACTTCTTCCCAAATTCTCTATATAAGGAAGACATGATGGTGAAAAGATAGTGGAAGGGAGGTGTTGTGATTGGCAGATATAGCTTCTAATCATAGTGAATAGTTTCACCAGAGATCTCCAATCCCAGTGGTTTGTGGAGATGTTGAATTTATAGTGTGTCTGGTGAGTGTTTTTTACTAGCTTTTTCTCCGAAAAGCTGCAAGGTCAAAACTATATCAGTTTTTTAAAAAATCCTTTTAAAAAGGTGCAAGTTTCCTAACTCGGGTAGCTTCTGTGCTATATTTTATTGTCATAAGAATTGCACGCTAAACCCCAGTCCTTTTTTGTGTCTCTCCCAAAACAACCACCGCTTTTACACAAGTATCTCTGCCGTTTTCTTAAATGTGGCAGACTTCCTCTCAGAACGGATAGTGATCTTTGCAAGCTTTCATCATCTGCTGAGAAATAAAATTAAGATTAAAAATACTGGAGGCGTCGGTAACAATTTTTGGGGGAAAATGTTCAGAACAGAAAGCAAGGTACATTCTTTTCCAAGTAGATTTTAGAAATACTACTTAGTTAACAGAAAAATAAATCAATGATGTCAAGCCCCCGTGCACGAGAAGGAAAAACGAGGTCCGCAAGCGCGGGAACGTTACACGCACAGACGCACAAATCACGGATGGAAGGGAACATATTTTCACGCATGTATAGTTTCGCGGTTAATAGCTCAAGGGGACCTGAGCCGGCAGAAATCTCCCGACCCGATTGGTCCTTCCTCCGGCCAATCCCTGCTTTCGTCTCTTCCCATTGGCTCAATGACCATTCCGGCTGGAACTCACATACATACAGCGGTCACGCGCTTTTTTAATTTGGAAAAAGGGGGCGGGGATTTCCTTCTCTCCCTCCTCCTCCTCTTGCGCCTCGAGCCCTTGCCGAACCTCCAGCGCGTGCGGACTCTCGTTACCCTCCAAGATTCCTGACGGGCAGCCCGGTTCGGGGACTGTGCGGGACCCCCATTCCCAAAACACTGGCAGACCCTCAGCGGGATTCACGCCACCCCAATTGTCTTCCTTCTCATTTCTCCTCCCTGGACGAAACCTTCGCTGGCGTTGGTTTGCAGCCTCGCGAGTGACCTGGTATTTCCTCTTTTCTTCCTCCACACGGAGGTTCTACCCCTGTTAGTACGTACACATGGGGGGAAAAAAAGACCGGCGAGCGACTGGCTAGCAAACCGGCTACCTAGTCAATCTCCAGCCTCCCCCCCCCCCCCCATTCTCGCGGCCGCTCTCTGATTGGGTGATTATTTTTCTGGTTTCCCCCCGCCCGCTCCATTCGCTGTCCCGCTTCTGTTCACCTGATTGGTAGATACGCACGCGCGGGCTCGGTGCCCCCCTCCCCCTCCCCCCTCAGGGGTAGGGGTTGGAGCTGCTCCTGACCGAGGCCCGGCAGTTGTCTGTTATCCCTCGAGGGCTTCGGAGCTCGCCGTGCCCGTTGAGCGTCGCCGCCGCCGCGATGAAGCTTCTCCGGTCGTTGTGGCCGTGGTAAGGGCTGACCTGCCTTGACTGGAAGATGGCCGCGCCGCTACCCGCGGCTGCTACTGCTGCCTGGTTCATGGCGGGGCCAGCGGGAGGCGGCGAGCGGGAGACGCGGGTCAGCCTTCCCCGGCCGCTGCTGCTGCCGCTGCTGCTGGGGGTCCTCCTCAGCCGGTGCCTCGGAGAACAACCCCCACGCGCCGCCGCCGGCGCCTCTGCCTCCTCCTCCTCGTCGTCTTCGTCGTCGTCTTCTTCCTTGTTGCCCGGCGCATCTGACTCTGAGGAGACGGTGATCATAGGGTTGCGGCTGGAGGACACGGACGACGTCTCGTTCATGGAGAAGGGGGTGCTACGAGTGAGCGAGAGGACCCGTGTCAAGCTGCGGGTCTACGGGCAGAATATCAATAACGAGACCTGGTCCCGCATCGCTTTTACGGAGCATGAGCGGTGGAGGGATGGAGAGGGCCGCCGTCCGCCCGCGGAGCAGGAGGATGGCTCGGCTCCCATCGGCTCGGCATCCCCAGTCCCGCAACGCTGCGGCATCCGCACCTCGGACATCATCATCCAGCCGCACATTACCCTCAACCGTCGCACCTCCGGGATCATTGAGATCGACATCAAGCCCTTGCGCAAAACGGAGAAGAGCAAGTCCTACTACCTGTGCACCTCCGTCTCCTCGCCTGCCATCCTCGGAGGGCCCGGGAGCTCGGCTGGAGGCCCTAGTGGGGGAGGGAACATCATTGGTTCTGATGGGGGTCCATGGACTGAAACCACCTGGGTCTACCATGATGGTGAGGACACCAAAATGATAGTGGGGGAAGAGAAGAAATTCTTGCTACCTTTCTGGCTTCAGGTGATCTTCATCTCCCTTCTGCTGTGTCTCTCGGGCATGTTCAGTGGTCTCAACCTGGGACTTATGGCCCTGGACCCCATGGAGTTGCGTATTGTGCAGAACTGTGGGACAGAAAAAGAGAGGAACTATGCCAAACGCATTGAGCCTGTGCGCCGTCAGGGTAATTACTTACTCTGCTCCTTACTCTTGGGCAATGTGTTAGTCAATACCACCCTTACCATCCTGCTTGATGACATCGCTGGTTCTGGACTGGTGGCTGTGGTGGTCTCCACCATTGGCATTGTCATCTTTGGTGAGATTGTGCCACAGGCGATTTGTTCTCGGCATGGCCTTGCTGTAGGCGCCAACACCATCTTCCTCACAAAATTCTTCATGATGATGACCTTCCCAGCCTCTTACCCGGTCAGCAAGCTACTTGACTGTGTCTTAGGGCAGGAGATTGGTACTGTCTATAACCGAGAGAAACTACTTGAGATGTTGAGGGTCACTGATCCTTATAACGACCTAGTCAAGGAGGAGCTGAATATCATTCAAGGGGCACTGGAATTGCGCACAAAGACAGTGGAGGATGTAATGACACCACTTCGGGACTGTTTTATGATTGCTGCTGAGGCTGTGCTTGATTTCAACACTATGTCTGAGATAATGGAGAGTGGCTATACCCGTATACCTGTCTTTGAAGGGGACCGCTCCAACATTGTGGACCTTCTTTTTGTCAAGGATTTGGCTTTTGTGGATCCTGATGATTGCACCCCACTGAAAACCATCACACGGTTCTATAACCATCCGCTGCATTTTGTCTTCAATGACACCAAGCTTGATGCAATGCTTGAGGAATTCAAAAAAGGTGGGATGGTGGTGGTTGGTAGTGGGAGTGGGGAAGAAGAAACTGAAAGGGAGCTTCTGGAGCTAAGAACTTGCTTATTTTTTTTTTTGTATAGTTGAGGTTCTTGGGATGCTGAATTCTGTGTTCTATACCATATTCAATATTTGCCTAGATGTCTTTGTAGGGTAATTGTAGGGTAGTAAACTGTTTTCCTCATCTTCATTTTCCCCTTGCTCCCAATACTTCTAGGCTTTGATTTGCTGTTCTGGGTTTGGCTGAGAATTATTTTTCTTGTTGAAGAGTTAATTGGCATATTGCTCAATAGCTAATGCATGTGCAGCTATGATATGCAGCCATGCCTCCCTGCTAGATGTATCTTTTTCATATGCTTTCTTAAAAACATGTTTATGTGTATACACTTTGCTTTTAAAATGTATTCCGGAGAGATGTCTCTCGTGCAGCTATAGACGTTGTTCATGGGGCCGTGCTTGTTTCCAAAAGAGCATTTAAAATACTTAGGCAAAATATTTATTTATTTATTTATTTAAAAACAAAAAATTACCAGTCATGTACTATTCCCCTCCAAGTGAAATGTGTATTTGGTATGATAAACCATGGCAAAGTTATTCTTATGCTTGCTTGGTGTTTAGTTAGACTCTAGGTCACAGGTGTTTGTGGTATTTTTAAATCTCAGTTTTCTTTGAAGTACAATTTTGAATGGATTTTTCTATTTATAGATCAGCACTAATATTGTGCCAGTTTTGTATAGGAAAACTGGAGAGGTTCAGTGGTCAGATGTACACATTTTTCCTAGATGGAAGACATGAATTCATATGCAACCTGCACTTAGAACATAGCACGTGGTTGTAGGCAAGGGCTTTTCACTTTCTGTACACATGCAGGAGAGCTGTCATTGTCAGTGACTTCTTATTGCATGAGTGTCATATATATTCAGAGCAAAAAACCCACACTACCCCAAGTGTACTATAATTTAATGTTACAGTTTACATGGATTTTATATTCTATACAGAAGTGTCCTCTGCATGATGATACTGCTCTACATGGCTCTTCAACTGCACAAAGACTATAAAATCCTATTGATATCACTTGTGGGTACTTTTGTTCACTTTAAATAGCTATGCTTGTATGCCAGGAGCCCCACATGCAATATAGGAGTGTCTCCGAAGGGTGGTACACCACCTTTGATAAACATTGACAAGGATAGTCTGTTGTTTGACAGGAAAAAAATTGGTTGCCCTCAGTCAGCTGATTTTGGGTGTCAGGAAAATGCTTACTTTTTTTAATGATTGACATTTTACAACCGGGGAAGGAGAGAGGCACCTGTGGCCTTTTCTGCCTCAAGTGTCAAAAGGACTAGTCTTGTATTTTGCATTTTGATTGTGCAGGAAGAGGACACTATTTTCTGCTCTGCCTTAACTTGTTCTAATCATTCATGCTTACCTTTGAAGTGCAACCTGGTCCATTTGGATTGCATTAATTGTGCTGTATATACCTTTCTATCTTATTTTGAACTCTGAAAGCTGAGAATATCCTGTTACTGATAATTATCTGTTTCTTAACGCAAGAAACACAAAGTGATTGCCTGTCATTTAGAGAGTTCCCTCTCACTGCAGACTTGCTGAATATCTTTGAATATTTTAATATGAAATTGCTTCAGATGATATTTGGGACCAAGATGAAGTTGGGATAACATGGGCAAAGATGTGTTGTTCTGTTTCATTGGCTGAAATCCTATTGTGCTGTTATGCAAAAGGTGTAAGTTTCAGAGGCAAATTAATATAAGTTAAGAAATCTCTGTAGGCATTTATGTTGCATAATAAGTCATGTGACTCAGCATCTAATGCAGTGGAGATTGCTTCACTTACAGCAATTCTCCTCTAAAAGTTGCATATTTTGTGTAACACTAAACAGGATTTCAGACACCATAGGAATCAAAAGTTTTGTGGATCCAGTTCAGTTGAAAGTTGTCTGCCCTACTGACCATCTTAACAACTGAATTTGCTCAATGCTGGGTAAACAGCATTGTGTTGAAGTCATCCTTTTCTCAAGATAATTGCTGCACTATAGTTGAACTTTTGCCCTCAGGTTTCTGATTTCTGTGCAGTACTCCCAGCTGGTTAGATTTCAAAATCATGTTTGATTGACCTATTATGATCTAGAATTATGCAAGATTTGGTGCTATACTCTAGCTTTTTCTCATGTAAGCATTTTGAAATTCTTTTAACCTTACATGTGTCTCCTTCAGTCACATGATACACTAGAGGTAACCATTTCCCAGAGAGGGTGGAGGGAAAAAGATTTGTAACCTAAATTATCTCTACTTTTAAACTTTTGAGCAGTAAGGCCAGGCAGGTTAAATTACAAACTGTGTGATTCTGTGGTTGCTGCGTGGTAATAACTGCTTTCCCATTTTTGTACTAATATCTTTTAGTTCTGTAGTGCTATTCAAGCATTATTCTTGTCAAATTTGCTGATAACATTGTTTTTAATTTGTGATATTTGTATTGTTATATATTAATTTTAAATGATATGAAGTGTTACGTAATAATTATAAAGATGATACGTACATAGATTTTTTTTGTATTAGGTAAAGCAACTAGTACTAGTTGAGTGGAAAAAAATGGGATTCTTTAAAATGTGACTTACAGGTGCAGAAGACCCCTCCATGTCCTTCCATTGCTGTTACTCTGACTGCTGTAGCAGTCCTAAACAAGCTTATATTTAGTAGTGTTAATCGTGTTTCCCCCCTCAAGCTATTAAGTTAGCAGTCCTAAGCATGCTTATTGATGCAAGTCCCATTGAACAGAAAAGGGCTGTTAGCTACACGCATGGTGTTTGCCATTAGCTGCATTATCAGGTTGAAAGATATTGCTGTGGAAGTGATGACGATATGCCTGCAGAACCAAGGTTCCATTGCAGCTATGGACTAGCTTACCTAAACAGTTTTTATACAGTACAGTATTGCCTCAATCTAGTGAAGTTGATGTTAAACCTTACTGTCTTGCCAAGAGAGATAATATTATTCTGAAAAACTATTAGTAAGTGCTTCATTTCGTCCATAAAATAAAGGTTCCTTGAATGCATGCAGCAAACTAGTGTGATACTATCCGGTGATAACATGTAATGTCATACTATATCATATTATCAAAATACAGTAGAATGAAATTGTAATGAGATAGAATATGATTTGACATTTACTCCACCTAACTTCCAAATAAGTTCTTGCCTTTCAATAGAAAGTCAAGGGGCTTTGATCATTGTCTAAAATGTATGTTGGTGCCATGTATTAGCATACTGTATTTTTGCCATAAATTCTGCCATGTAACAATTGCTTCTTGAATATTGCCAATATGCGTATTTCTGTGCTTGTGCTTTTGCATGTGTGATTTCTTTGCCCTTCTCTGTTCTGAGCAGGAACACATGAACAAAGTCTTCTGCTAGACAAATTTTTTGTAAGAAATTCCCATTAATCGTGTTTCCCTCAAGCTATTAAGTTAATGTGACAGCTCTTTTTCCACTAGCAGAAATAAGCTGACCTCTGTGCTTTTTTGAACTTCAAGTCATCCTTGACTGAACTTCACATCATCTTTCACTGGAGTGAACAGTGTAGGGCTAGTTCTTCAGAGGAAGTTTTGAAAATGGTTCATGTTTACTCTGAAACTCATATAAAATTAACAAGGTATTAGATTAAAGGCAGGTACATTTTGCTTTAGTCAGAATGGAAATATACAAGAACAAGAGCTTTCTGCAATTTAACATCCAGTGCTTTAAGGATTAATAATGTGAGCCATTAAAAGTGTATTAAAAACTGATTGACATTTAGAGTTGCTGGGTACCTGCTCCTGACTGGTTCGGGGAGCGGAATTCATGTCTTTGTACTTTACAGTCTTAGGCAGTGCTGCTGCTACATCTCTAGTAATATGTTTACTTACTTGTTAGCAGCTGGACTGACACAAAGAAAACTCTTAACCTTGGTATAATGAGAAATGCAGGCTTTGAAGGCAAACATAAGTTGCACTCAGATGGGGATGGGTAGACCGCTTTTTTGGAGAGGGAGGACGGAGGACATTTGAAGGTGAGACACGGAGTTGCAGGGAATGGGAAAGGATTCTGCAGAAGGTAGAATTGGTGACACTTAGCAGTGGTAAACTATTGCTAGATGCTAATCCTAGAAACTTCACTGTTGCAAGGAATGTCCTAAGCTCCTGGCCACAGGAGTTCTCCTCTTCTCAGAGAGTCTGATGGCTGTATTACTCTTCTGATGTGAAGTTTGGATTAGTCCACCATATGCTGCAGTGTGTGTGAATATCTTATATACTTGCCTGCTAGAAGATAGCTCTGGTTTGGAGGTATGCTGACTTTAGAAGGGGGCTTGAGTTAAGTGTGTGTGTGTGTGTGTGTGTGTGTGTGTGTGTGTGTGAGAGAGAGAGAGAGAGAGGGAGGGAGGGAGGAGAGAGAGAGAGATTCTGGATTAAAGTATAAACTTTTTTTGAGCAACATTAAAGAAGATTTTGATAATAAATAACTGTATTATTGGGATCCATTTAATGTGTTCACAGTGCATGAATTGGCAAGCCTTTCTAGATCTGGGTGATGGAGTTTGGTTTCAGTGGTAGGGTTCCATCAATTACTTGTGTTCTCTGCACTGCGTATAGACAATTTTATGTTGGTTGGGTTTGGAACCCTCACCTACCCCGTGATTACCAAATTAAGTGTAATGAAATAAGTTGTATGTTTCTTTTGTGGTTTTTTTTTTTTACATTCTTGCAAAACTAGGCATATCAGATGGCAAAAAGGATAGGATGTCATGATAAATGGATATCGGTGGGCTTTGAAAGGGGAAGAAGGTAATAAGAGAAGCCATGATAGGAAAACTGGAATTTGTTTAGCCAATGAAAGCCCTTCACAAATGTTCTTTGGGTTTGGAACATGTAACAGAGACAAGAAACATTTCAAAAATTTTCTCTGCTAGGATTTGCGCTATGTATTGGAAACAGTGG